AAAACAGTTCTTTTGAACTGTAGTAATATTTCACAGCATTATTGTTTTTATTGTATTTTGGACATGTAAATAGGGTATGTAAATGAATGTGCAGAACTGTGTATAATGGAACACAAAGATGGGCAGTCTCATGTGTCCCTCTTCTCACATACACACACAGGACTCATGTACAGTGACAGAGACAGAGTAAAAAGCTGTGTGGTGGCCTTTTAAAGTGTCAGCTGATGATTTAGGATCAGTCTGAGGAAAGGAAAGGACTCTGCTCTCTTTAAGGCCATGGCCCGTCACACTACACACTCTCACTCTGCTGAGACACACACTCCGCAGAGATATGTGTACTCTTAAACACTTGCACACACTGCGATGGGAGCGACAGGCGAGAGAGAGTTGGAACAGGGGGCAAAATCCATAACCAGACTCGCACTGGTCCGTTCGTGCCGTCGCTCCACATTCATCTGCAGTCAAAAGAAAACCGTCACACCTTTGATCCCCTCTTCCACTGAGCACAATGCTTAATTGCACTGGTGGGAGTGGGAGGAATCGAACGAAATGTGCACGTACACACACACACACGTGGGCATTCATGCCCTCGGTCGACACCGGGATGACGCGTGCGCGTGTTGGAGATGAGGGGTGACAAGACAGGAAGGCAATAAGACTTAATTGATTCTAAGCCACTCAGGATCTCAGAAGTCAAATATAGAACACGTGCACACACAACTTACAGTAATCACCACACACACACACACACACACACACACACACATACACACACCTGTCATGAATTCCCAATAGAGTCCCTGGCCTCCTATTGAACGGCTGTGTGTTTACAGAGAAAGGCTTCCCATTGGTTTTCTGATCAATGGGATTATATTTCTTATAAAGGAGGGATGAGAGGATATGTCTGTATGGAGGAAAAGCGAGAGAGGGAATGAGGGATGAAGGAGCAGAGAGGCATGAGAGAACATATAAGGTGAGGAAATTTCCCATGTATGCATGCTGACTGGAGTGCAAGACAAGAAAGTATTGATTTATCTTCCTCTCTTCACTTTCATTTCTGTCTCCTTTCACTCAGCACTTTTTTCTTTTCTCGTTATGGTTCCATTTTTCATCTTTTCTGACAATTCTGTCATCATTTACTGATGCTCACACAGGCTTCATAGTCCAGAAGGTGACTAAAGTGGTCACACATGCAACGAAAAAAAAACAAGAATGATTTGACTAACTTGAAATCTTTAAAATATAATATGAATAATTTAAATTCTAGCATTGGTGACAGTCTGGAAAATGTTTGCCGAACAAAGCACAAGTCGTGAAAAATAATAAAAGGGCCTCAGATAACCACACCCATGGTGATCTATACTCTTATTTTTTCATTGTTAGTCATAACTGTCAATTACCATCTGCCATGTGACTTTTGCTCAGGAGGTTTTGTGTCACATTTTATGTGTTGTGTAACCTTTTGCTCTCTCTCTCTCTCCTAAAAAAATAAGCTCTTAAGCAACAACCATTCTATGAATCATGTTATTTTACCCAAGATTATATTTCCTTGAATTGTACATTGCTTGAGAACCACAGTATAAATGTGTCTACATTCAATAAACTTTGAAGACTCTGAGGACACTGTCCCTTGTGAGGAATTCTTCCCATGATCACGAGAAACCAAAATCAAACACCACAAACAACAAACAACTGACTCTTATGAACCGGCTCTTTGTAGTGAATCGGTCAAAAACAACTTTTTAAACAGCTGGCCAATTTGAATCAAACTCACTCACTTTTATTGTATGGAAAAGAGCAGCATGGACATTTTGCTAGATAGCTCCTTTGTGTTCTAAGAAAGAATGTTTGTGAGTAAATGATGACACATTTTTCATTTTTTGTTGAACTATCCCTTTAAGTAAAGTTTTAATGTTTACTTTATAAATGCTGTAGAGGACAGCATAATAGCCACGGTAACACAAAGAAACTGTCCTCCTGACAAACCAAGAAGAGCAACACTGACAGAAGAACAAAAGGAAGAGACGAATAGGATGGAAACAATGGTATGATAACTGCCCTGGCTTTAAAGAAAAGAGAGACTAGAGCCAATTTTTGGGGAGCAATCAGAGGTAGCAGAGCCAAGACATGACAGAATCTTACAGAAAGAGAGAATGAGAAGACAAACAGGAACTGTAGAAGACATTTTTAAAGATAAATGGAATGAGGGAGATAGGGACAGAAAGAAATAAAGAAAGACAGAGAAAGGAAAAAGACAGTTGTCCCAAATATGACAACTAAACTACATAAACAGTAAACATGAGCAAGCATGACTGAAGCACAGAATTATTTCCATACCAAAGAAAGAAAGAAAGAAAGACCATGTCTTGTGAAATGCAAAACGTGTGACAAGACTAAGAAAAATGTTTGTTGGAAAAATTTGCATTTTACTGAATTAAACGGATATATTTCTGAAGCAATAGATTCCACAAGAGATATACATTTTTAATTATAGAACTAATAAAAAATGAAGATATATTGAAATCACACACGGCAGCCTCCCATCATAATTCTCGCTGCATATTTGAAACCTACTTTAACCTTTTAATCAATTTTCCAGTTTGGTTTATTCAGATAAATTACTCAACTTTAACCCCCTTCAATTATTTATTTATTTATGAAATATTTGAAATTCATATGATGAAACATCATGGTTTTCCTGCTTTCGGCAGGATCTAAACTAGTCAGACCAAAAATTGTGCAAGTTCTGGACTATCCAATAAAACTTTGCATACCTTCAAGGGCTCAGTCTTCTGTCTGTTTGACAAGTGAGTTTAAATCATTCCTGCAGGTTGCAGCCTCGCTCTTGCTACCTGGAGAGGACGCAAATGTATTCATGTCGCACGCCACCCTATCGATTACCGGGCTGCAGAGGAATTAAAGGGCACACCGCACAAATCATCATTAAACAAAAGATAAATATTCCCAGCCCCAGCCCCTCACTGAATCTCTGGAAACGCTCTTTATCTCGGCTAATTTGAATTTGGGGATGCGGTAACATGCCCGGTCAAATTAAAGCATCAGAGATACACGATACACACAAAATGCCCAAACACACACAAAACATGCACCTCAAGTGCTCTCAAAATGTGATTAATGCCTAAGATTTGGAGGAGAATAAACAGAAAAACATTAGTCGGGCGTGAAACAACAAATACGTAGCTTGAGCACCTGTCCTTTTTTCTATTACATTTTTCTCTCATCCCCACATCACTGTCTTTTTTCTCCCTCATTCACCTCTCATCTGCGGAGTGGCAGCATATATAATCCCTCTGTAATGGACGTTTAATATTTACACGTTTGGTGTAATCACTTAAATGCCTGTTTTACCACAGCCTTATTTAGGTAGTTGGAGGGCATCTGACAGCCTATTCATCACAAAGTGAGCGTGCGGAACCTCTTGCCCCCCTTAACAATCAATCAACCGACAACTCCAACCCCCTACACACACACACACACACACACCTCAGCCTGACTGTGCGTAATCACTTCTGTTTGCATAACCCACCACACACACTTACACACAAACCCAAGAACGATAGCTATTAGTCCATCATCTGAAAGGCCCTATACCTGTGAATAGCTCCATAGGCTCTAGGGATTCATCTTTAGCCCTTCAGACGCACGGCAGCTCTATGCATTTAGAGAGCCTCCATTGGCTCGGGTAATGGGATGTGGACTTTACACTGAAATACATCTAATCATAAGGTTAGCTTTTGATTTCCTTTGAAAGGATTCAGCCGATGCTGAATTACCTTGGCTGGAGGAGAGAATGTGAATCAAGCGTTTTATTGGATAGCTTTAGTTGCACTACTTCCAAAAAGTCGCTTTGAGCTTTTCTTGGTTTACAGTAAAGACAGGAAAAATAAATCAATGGCTTATGGGGACTACTACGAAGCAGCATTTACAGTATAAACAGATTGATTCATTATAATTCATATTAACGCATCTCAATGGCTACATTACATCTTGAAATGTACTTTTAGCAAAGCATTAAAAAGGATAGTTCACCCAAAAATTAAAATTCTGTCATCATTTATTTACCCTCATGTCATGACTTTCTTTCTTCTACAGAACATGAATGAGGGCGAGTAAATTACTGAGAGAATTTTCCTTGAGAGAACTATGCTTTAAACAGAAAAGCATAGCATAGCACACATTGCATCTGTTTTCAAATATATGCATAATTAATTTAATCCAACCCAAAAAAAAAAAAAAACCTCCTGGAATGTAAAATGTTTCATAATTAGAAGAGGATTAATGGGGTGAATAGGTGTATATTTGCCGCCCCCTGTTGGAAAATGAATGAGGGCCCTGAACTTTCAGTCAGATGTGAGTGCATCCTGAATGTATTTCTGCACATTCCTGCCAAGTCTCTAGGTGTGTGAGTGAGTTTAAACGTGCTGGAATGAAGGGGAAATGCCTGTACATGCAGTGGGACTCGCAACACTCTCAGTTTTGTCAGCTGTAAGGGAGCGGCTGTGTGCTTTCGCTCTCTTGCTTCATCGGACCATGACATGTTCAATCACACACTGTGTCACTCTTAGGAGAGAGACGCTCTAACATGCTTTGATAATATGTACTGTAGTGCAAATATTACACAAGTGTGCTATAATCTCTCATTGCCCTTGCACCCTGTTTTTAAGCCTTCTATCATTCTGTATCACTTTTCACAAAGGTTTTGGGCGTTGGTGGATTTGGTACTTTTCATCATTCATTTTAAGTTCAATATTTGCACCGTAACCAACAAGGCATCTCTCATTATGTCATGTTTTCATTAGCACTGAGTCCATAATCTACCTACTACAATATGAATTGTTGCAGAATTAGTCAGTAATTTGTTTGTTTTCGTTGCAAGATGCCTCTTGTCATGATGTAGTTTTTTGGGCATTTTTATTGGCTGTGTGCCCATGAATTCTGTAAATGGTGCTTTGTGGATGAAGATTTATGCAATCAGTTAGTCAATCTAACTGCGTCAACTCCCATCAAACTCTCCCACAAATGTTTTTGCCGTTATTTTTTTTTTCCTGTCAGCATTGGAGGAAAAAGAAGGGGACACGCCTGTGTTTGTCAAGCAGGTGTTTGTGTGTCTACTAGTGTTTCTGTCATTCACCCACCACTTTGTTCATCTACGCTGAAACAGAGGAGCAGAAAACCCTCAATTCTCTCAGCAGCAATCTCTCTTACTAGCAGGTAACTTTCAGGTACTTCTTAACCAGTTCCATGTGTGCGCTACAAAAACAAAAGGTAAAAAAGCTTTTACCTCAAATACAGAAATGAGCATTAACTCTTAATTCATCTGCATTTTAACGATGGTGAAAAGTCTCGTTGCTTGTGTCTGCTGGTGCATGTCATGATTCTCAGCTCACTGCTTCACTGTTTGTCTCTGCTAACAGTTTAGTTCTCTGAGCCATATGGAGCCCGCAAGTGGCTTTCCATATTCTGCCGTGCTGTCAGGCCTGTTATTAGAGATCTTTTAGAGCCTGTGCTAAAACTGTATAAAACACTCATCTGTCTACCTGCTGTCACATTTACCGGCTAGTTTCTGACAAGAAGACAGATTAGGCTATGCCTTGATTTGTGTGTAAATGTTGAGCTGCATGTCAATATCAAATGTATTTGATTAGAATGCTGTAGGGTTTGCTATACAATCCATTTGCTTTAAAAGAATAATTATGTAGCAGAATATCCAAGTTGCATTTTTAAATACAATGTAAGTGAACAGTGACGACAGCTGGTCTTCATCCACTTTCATTGTATAGGGAAAAAAAGCATATACATATGTACATATTTTTTACATGCACTGTCCCTTTAGTACTTTGCTGAAAGCAATTTCCTTTTCAAAATAATTTTTCCTCTTTCATGACCCCCACAGAAGCAGTGCCAACATGCAGAACGCAGAAGCCGTGTCAGCAACTATAAACACTAATAGGAACTGTACAGTGGAGATCACCAATGTTAGCAGCACTTACTGCCTTATCAATCCAAAGTAAGGAGAAAATTACATTTACAATTATTTAAATTAAGTTACTGGCAAAATCTGTTTAGTGAGTGATAAAACTCTTTAAAAATGCAGTTAAAAATGAATAGTAGTGACTTTAAGAATTATATTTTGGTCAATTGTACACTGTAAAAAAAACTACTTAACATGTATAACATGTAAAAATGTAGTTGAAATTGGTTAAAGCTGCAGTCCGTAACCTACGTCTTGGAATATATGACCCAAATAAGAATTTTCACCGTATCTGTCATCTGAGCAAGTCTGCAACGTTTGTACTGACCAACTGAGGAAAAAAGCATTACCATAAATCTCGCTACCAATGGTGATTTAATCTAATTATCAGGTTAGCTCATATATCACATCAAACCATGCTAATTATTATTATTGTTATACTTTATTCTCAACTTATTAATGTTAACAACATCAGCATTGCGTGACTATGAGTATAGTGTGTATTAGCGTGTAGATTTACATTTCTGTACAGTCTAATTGCCATACCATTTGAATTTCATATTAAGAAATTATTTTAACCCAAAAAGCAAATTATGCTCCCTTCGAACTGGTTTTCTTTAAAATACAAATCTTATGTAATCCCAGGCTATCTGTAATAAGAAGCACATTTAAAACGGCAATATAATTTAATTTCATTCACATGTGTTTCATAAATACATAATCCTTTCTGGATTACAATCCGCCATCAAAATGATACATTTAATTATTCCAGCTGCTGTGAGAAAAGGCTATAAACGATCGTCCACCTGCAGGATCCTCACATGCGATAGCCTAGTAGCGGGGACAACTTCTTTATGTTTACAGACGTGACGTAATGACACAGTGCCATGCTCAAATTTCCCGCGAAAACCTACTTGTACCACTCAAATTAGAAAACATTATTATAAGCTAACTGTTGTGAATCGGGCTAAAGTAAGGCGATAGTTTTGAACACTGGCTGGTTATGTACTTGCTCAAATATTGATTTCGAATCATTTTTAACCAAAAAAAGTTACGTACTGCAGCTTTAAATTATTTTGATGAGATGAAAAAACATTACTATGACTTACTGATCACATAATTTTTGGGCAAATTCCTTTTATTTACTCAATGTTATTTATTGTAATTGTACATATCTTTAAAATATTATTCACCAATGTCAACTATAATCTTCTCTCAGAGTGTACATGTCCAGTGGGTTCAGTAACCATCCACCTCAACCCACCATCCGCACCACCAAGACTGAGGTTTGCTCATTCACTAAGGATGACAACACTCCCACCGGAGCTGTGGGCATCTTGACCTATGACGTCTTCAACATGCAGAACCGTATGTGCACTGAGCGTATGGCCATTCTGTTCTCTATCCCCTTCGACTACCACCTCTACAAGAACGTGATGGGCATCGGGTTGTTTGAGAGCAGCCGTGGATGTGACAAGGCCCTGTACAAGCACATGTATGAGGGGAAGGACTTCAGCCAGTTCACCCGTGCAGATGCGGGGGGAACTGGAATCATCCACAAAGGAAAGAAAATAGACTTAAGGGCCACCATGTCTACTGTGGGCAAGGCTATTATTAAGCTAGAGGTCTATGACAAGATGGGCTAAACAATAAACAAATTTTGTCTGACAGTAACACATATGATTAAAATACTTTTTCCATATACTTTTTATAATCTTAAACATCATACGCATATTAAATGTCATAATGCACACGCCATTGTGCTTTCAAATGTTGATGCAACTTTTTGATGTCTGTATTAATACCTGCATTCATGCTGCCCAGTTTTCTGATTGTAAATCTCAAAATGTGTCTAAATAAAAAGACTGTTTTGAATACTTATGTTTGGTTCTGTGTCTGCACTACATATATATATATATATATATATATATATATATATATACAGTATATATATACAGTGAGGTGATATTTTGGCTGATGCTTCTATTTAAAGAAACTTGTTGCATTCATAAAATATACATTAGTATACATCAATTCATAAATATATTTCATAAAGTATACATACATTTATGCACTCCCGGGGAATCAAGTCCATAAACATGTTATTGCTGTAGCATCATGCTCTACAAGCTGCCCTTTGCTTTTCACATACATTTCTTATAAGAAACATCAAATGAAATGTAATATTAAGCAATTTAAAATCATGAACCATGAACAAATGTTAACTTATATGAGCAATATCACACGAGTAGATGTGAAACATGGCTGTATATTGGCACGGCTGTGATTTTCAAACAGACGTTATCTTTATTAACAAACCACATATTTGAAATCTAAACAAGTACATTCTCACCTAAAAACTCTTAAAACTACATTCTGTGGCACAAAAACAGTATTATTTTTAAAATTATGAAATGAAGTCGGCACCAATAGCCTGGTTAGTGCGTCGACATACAGCGTAACTGTGACCCGAGTTCGATTCCCGTCTCGAGTGCTTTCCTGTCGTCTCTCTCTATTGTACTATCTATAAAAAATGCACCAAAAAAAAGCCCATAAAAATATCTAAAAAAAAATATGAAAGAAAGTGAGCATATTTCTAGGCTCATTCTGTCATTATTCAAAACACATAACAGAACAAACATTCCCATCCAAACGGTTTCAAAATACCATTGTTCGTGTACTAAACACTACAAAGGCTAATTATTACTAATTATCAGGAAACCTCACCTAAAACGTATTCCTGTAAATGCTGCCATACCTACTTGTTTGAATCTGAGCTTGCATAACCCCTTAAAAATTGAGTAATTTCCGAGACAGATCTGTACATGCAACTTCACTGTTCTGGTCTAACAAATCTATAACAACCAGTTTTGGGTGTGGAACTGTTCCAAGCATTTTCCCACCAATGTCACTGATGCCTCTTGAGCTGTTATGTGTGTGAGAGTGTGTCTCCATGTTTGTGTAAAGAGGGTGTACACTAAATTTGAGTAAGCATGCTTTTTTTCGCAGGTGGGTATGTACTGTTCTTGTTGCTGATCATGAAGACTTGGAAAGGGACAAAGTAAAAACGCAGTGACTCTTTCGGAACGCACTGTTACTGAGCAACACACACACTCCGGAGTACCACAGAGGTAAGCCTTCATTCTCCTACTTAATAATCAAAACTAAATGCTAATGTATACTTTTATTTCCATATTAAAATTATAACATAGCAAGATAGTTTATTCAGTTATGGACACTTGAGCAACTCTATTTCACACTCTGCTTCTTTTAAAAGCAGTGCATTATAAAATTGAAGATTGCTAGAGGCACAATGGTTTTTGAAGTGGGGTCTCTGCATGTAATTACTGTGACCCTGTTTATTCACTAGTTAACATTGACAATGGTAATAAAAGAGGGGCAGAAGTGAACTTGAGAAGAGCTATGTGAACTTAATCTAATGCTTCTATGCTTTATATTTAAGTGTGTGCACAGACCAGACAGTACAGAATCTTTTTCAGTAATAAGACCTGAATTTAACACTAATTTAGCACAGCAGTTTAAATAGAGGACAATTAACTTATGACAGCAAACGTTTTATCACAGAAAAGTTATTGTATTTTCGCTGCTGCCCTGCAGTGTAAACAAAACTGCATTTCCACTGCTTTTTACTGTGAGGTACAGACTTCTTTTCTCACACCATCCCTCTCCTCTCTACTTCTCTCTGTTTCAGCCGTCAATCAGATCTATCGTGAACCATCATGACTGAGTCTGCTGAGGTTGCCGCTGCCAATGTGAGCAGCAAGAGACACGCCACCATAGAGATCACCAACCTGACAAACAACTACTGCCTCCTCAACCCAAAGTGAGACTACAACCAGAAGCAAAACTAATGTTAAACCAAGCATTCAAAACTAAAACTTTGTATCTAAACTTCTATATGTGTAACATGTATGTATGTATCTATTTAAGGAAAGAAGCATAAAATGCATTAAGATGGAAATTCTGTTATCACTTATTCACCCTCATGTCTTTCCAAACCTGTATGACTTATCTTCTTCTAAGGAAATGGTTTTTTTTGTGCATGAAATGTTATTTTTGACCCCATTTACTGTACTTTCATTTAATTGTATGGACAACAATAACAATTCTTTAAAATATCATTAGTGTTCCAATGAAGAAAGAAGGCATACTTGTGGAACAACATTATGGTGAAAAAACGATTGCAGAATTTGAATTTGGGGTGGTGAACTAAAATGTGCATTTTGTGTAGCAATAAATGTGTGCATGCTTGTGTATGATTCATGCATATAAATCCCACAGGATCTATCTTGAGAGTGGTGAAACCTCCAATCCACCTCAGCCGACAGTGCGCCCCCTCAAGACCGAAGTCTGCACCTTCAGCAAGACCAGTGCTCAGGCCACCGGCAGCGTAGGGGTTATGACCTACGACCTGTTCGAGCGAAGCAGAAATGACTACATTGAGACCCTGGCCGTCATGTTTTCTGTCCCCTGGGACTACAATCTGTATAAGAATTGGTTTGCAGTAGGCATCTACCCGAAAGGAAAGGAGTGTGACCAGGCCCTGTATAAAGAAATGTACTATCAAAAGAACCCACAGGGCTTTGTGAGGGAGGAGGCCAATGGGTCAGGCATTAACTTTGAGGGAAAATCTCTGGACGTAAGGGCCACCATGTGTCCTTTAGGCAGGGCTATCATAAAACTGGAGGTGTGGGACAAGCTGCTGACTCCTTTGAGTCAGCAGGTTTGCTAAACATATAAACCAGTCTGCCATTTTACCAAATCAAAATAATATAGTAACTTTTTTTACATGCCCTTATATGTTATCACCTGTATCAAAAATGTTTGCTTATACATTTACCAGTGTAATGAATCTAGCACCATTTATTTTTTAGCTTCCTTGCCAGCTCTTTAGGGTAATTTGAACTCTGTAAAATTATCTGAGAGTGTTTAAACTGGATCTAATACCTCTGTAATATCCCACACTTTAAACTGTTTGCTTTTTCTGTCAGAAGAACGCCTCAGATGTGTGTTTACAGTCTGCTTATGCTTCCTGCAGGCTAAATCCGCTCTCATATCAGGCAGCCATTGTGTTGTTATTCAGTCAAACCATCTTCTTGGTGATTTTTTTGCTCCCTCATCAGGGCAGAGATCCCTGTGAACAATACACACTGTCTGTACTGACTGCCACTGCTGAGGTATTTTCAAATAAATATGTATCTGCAAGTATGTATTGGTGTATTCAAAATCTCGAATGAGAGCCGAGGCTGTTTGCCGTAAGCTGGAAATGGTCCTGTGTAAATATTTGGAAATATGTATTTGGAAATTCCTAATGCCTGAAGAGGGCAGCTGAACCATGGGAACCGAAAGACAGAGACGAAGATATAAAGAATGAATCACAGCATCAAAGAACTGGCAGAGCACTTTTTACATCTTTAAACTCCTCTTGTCCTGAATAACTCCTTCAGCAGGCACTGAATAATGTCTCTCCAGCTTACTCAATACTCACAATTCCCAATCAGAAACATCAATGCTAATTTATCAGTAAGAAATGGAACTGTAATTGGAAAATTAAAGGTTTTACAAGCAACTATTACTTGCCCAAATCCAGATGGAACCGATATCGATTTAACGCACTTAACAAACTTAACAATTTAACAATTGATTTAACAAACCAGTTATCAAGGTCAAAGAGCAAAATTTGTAGAGAGCACGCCTCAGAAGACTGCAGCACTATTACCAGAAATGGAACTGTAATTGGAAAATTAAAGGTTTTACAAGCAACTATTACTTGCCCAAATCCAGACGGAACCGATATCGATTTAACGCACTTAACAAACTTAACAATTTAACAATTGATTTAACAAACCAGTCATCAAGGTCAAAGAGCAAAATTAACATCAAAAATAAAAACAAGTCTGTTCTAAAATCTTAATTCAATGGAGTAAATTGCTTCTCAATCCATTCTTAATACTACAGCCCCACTATCTCCAAATAAGAGCAATGATCAAAGGTTTCTTTCTCTATGTGCTGTGACATTTGCATGGAAAGTCATACATAATACAGGCTAAACGTCAGTTCTTTAACAGATATCCCTGGAGCATTATTGCACAATGTAATAGGATGGTGGAGAACTGCTGTAACAGATGGCAAGTGCTTTTCTGATGCTACAGTGGGTATCTTAGTCAAGTCAAGTCAAGTCTGCTTTATTGTCAATTCTTCCACATGTACAGCACATACACACAGAGAATTGAAATTGCGTTACTCTCAGACCCTTGGTGCATACAGATAACACTAACAGTAGAACATAAATACAGATATACAGATTAAATATAAAATACAACTATACAAATATACAAATAAGGTAAAATGTAAAAAAATAAAAATAAAAAAATAAAATAAAAATAAAAAAAATAAAAAAAATAAAAAAAATACAAAAATACAAAAATACAAAAAATTAATAAAAAAAATAAATAAAAAAAAGTCAGGTGTGTGGATTTCCCTCACACTTGAGCTTGAAGCAGTATTCTTTTCTTTCTCTGGTGTATTTATTTTGCACTGCGAGGGAAATATTCCCCATTTTGCTTACGCTGTTGTGTATTTGTGCATTTGAGCGTGTGTATGCATGTCTGTGCACGCCACTGGGAAATGGCAATTAATATTGACACACATGCCAAATAAATTTGCACCTGTACTTAAAGGTGTACAATCTTAAAATATGTTTTAGCATATTTAAACTGAGCTAGATCAAAGTAAGCTATTCACAGAGTTCACACTTTTTCCCAAAAAGTCTAAACGCTACTGTTCTGTGCAAACATTGCTGTTTGTTTGAGACGAGTCAAGTTTTGGCTGGTTATCTTCAAACGAGTCTCTGCTGGTAGATGTCATTACGCCAGTAAATAGATGCCAAAAAGCATCTTTCTTTCTTTTTTCCATTGACGGCCATTCAAAAATAAATTTTCAGAAAATACGGACAAAAACAAGCAACACATGAATTGGAAATATTCCATTATATTACAGTATATATTTTTGGAGGGCTCTTAAAGGTGTGAAATTTTGTTTGTGACTATTTTTCTGTCTGCTCTGTGAACCAAAATCCTGAAAAAGATTTTTTTTCCCCATTTCTATTTTTGATTTCCATTTGGAGGACAAGCTGTTTGGTCACTAGAGCTCTCACAAGGAGAAGTGGTAATTTGTGAAAGGACACACATAAAGTAAACCTCAGAGACATCTGAAGAGGGAATTGGGCAAAGGTTGTCCTAAAATGTGGGAAGTGCAAGAGTTAGAGCTAATTTGAGGGTTTTCACTTTTCAGATCAGTGCACAAGATCAGTAATGAACTGATAGTGTCGAAGTTCAACTGCAGAAGGTGCAGTGATGTGAATTCAAGATCATAGTACCCAGTCAACACGTGAGATCATGCGATGGTCACAGTGACATGATGACATCACACGATCCTCATACTGTGATCCTCACGGTGTGAGTAGTATATGAAATCATTGTGAGTTCACACGATCCTCATACTGTGATCCTCACGGTGTGAGTAGTATATGAAATCATTGTGAGTTCACACGATCCTCATACTGTGATCCTCACGGTGTGAGTAGTATATGAGCACAGTGAGTGTGCAGTGACCTCACATTGTGACCATAGTGTGAGCACAGTGAGTGTGCAGTGACCTCACATTGTGACCATAGTATGAGCGCACAGTGAGTGTGCAGTGACCTCACACTGACCATAGTATGAGCACAAAGTGAGTGCGCTGTGACCTCACATTGTGACCATAGTATGAGAATCATGTGAGCTCATAGTGACATCATTGTGAGATCAAATTGTTGACTGGGTAGTGTGTTAGTCCATTTTGTTGTGTCAAAGTCGAGTCCAAGTCTTTAACCAATCGAGTTTGAGTTGGAGACGTTTACTAATGTCTTGTTATCTTAAATTTATGTTGTTAAATATTACATCTTTCATGTTATACATAACCTGGACTTGACTGTACTCAGAATGATTTAGTCCGAAATGTCAAGAGTCCATGTCAAGTTTGAGTACAAATTTACCAGAAAGCATGACAAGTATAAGTTCATTCATAATTGACCCTTTGCAAACACCCGCCCTCCTTAGTTACTGTTGCTGAGTCCGATAAGCCATGCACTCTCACACCACACATCATGTTCTCATGCAGTGAAAAATACATTGCGGAGCATAGAGAAAACTGACAACACACCGACAGACAAGACAGAGCAGGTAACTTTTGGTATGAAACAATGTCTCAGCTTTCAAATGGTCATTTTCTAAGAAATTCAAACAATAAAATCCATTTTGTGGCTCTTCAATGTGTCGTGACAGATCACTGTAGCACCTCAGTTCAAGAGGCATTCGGACCCATCATGTCTTCCTCTTTACTAGTCATAGCACAAAATAAACCTGAACGAACATCAGAAGCTATCTTGTTTTAACCGCGGAAAGACATCAATACACACCACTTTTCAAGCTCAAGTCCATGAAAGTTAATCTCCTCTCCTGTCTGGTTTGCTTGTTGGACAAAATGGCAGATTCTGAGTTATGATTGGTCAGATCGCCTGTCAATCAAATGCCCAGCGAAGGGTTAATGGGACTCAAGTCCGGACTTGATTCAGAGTCCGACATTGAGTACCCCAACTCTGGATCACAGTGAGAAGTCCAAGAAGTCACCGTACTCGATATCAGCGAGATGTTAATTGCTATGTAATCTGACACTTAAATGCTCAAGCTCTTAAAAGGTGGATAAATTCAGATTGGCTGTCAATGCTTTTGTTGTTCATCCATTGGAAAAAATTGTTCCGAAAGGGATTCCATTGATATCATTCCTCTGTGCCGTTCTCACTACAGCTGTGGTTTGGACTTCCCCGTTCTCACATAATGAGAATGATTATTAAAACATCTTCCTATGAACAGGCCTTTACACTGCATTCAAAATACACATTTTATTACATTCCCTGGGAATCTAAACTCAAAAATGGGTAAACACATACTTTAAAAAAGAATACAGTATTTGTCTTAAATACAGCGGTAATGTCCATACATGTACAAGACAGCTGTGATCACAAGTATTTATCTTTACATGCATTGTGAATACTTTTCTTCAACATTTTCTACCAGAAACTTCCACAAGGCCGGTTGCACAAGAAAAATACATTTCATTTTGAGTCTGAAAATAGATTCATATTGGTAAATCACAATTCAATGGGGTTTACTGCTGCTATTTGCTATTTGCTAGAGGCCCTATGCTCCTTCTTGGAGTCAGCGGAATAAGAAGATTTGCTGTGTGAGAGTGCCACTGTGTGGAAGGATGAGGTAAAGTGACTCATGCAATATGCATACAATAGGATGCTATGAGCTGTTAAGAGCCATGTATAAGATAAAAATAAATAAAATACATTTCATATAAATAAAATGGACAAGAAAGCTTTCAGTTTAACATTCAACTATCTTTTGCTCACAATAGGGAAGAGTAAAAGAGAAAAAGACAGAAGCGAGTCCATGTGTGTGTGTGTACTTGTGTTTGCTTCAAAAATTATTTACCGCATATTTGAACTGTGCTTCACTTTTTCAGTGGTTCTTGGGCAGCAGGCCTCCATACTGTTCTCTGATCTCAGCGATGGCAGCATTCAGACGCGCTGTAGGTGCTGTGTCAACCCCCACCAGCAGACGCCCACTCGGTCCAGAATGACAGCATCTCCTACACAAACAAGAATATCAACAAATCCAGCAGAGTACCATCTACCATGTTCCATATACATGCGCTGTACAATACAGCAAAATAAATTATCTGTTCCATTGCTTCATACACATCTTGTTTTATCTTTTGATTTTTTTATCAGTATTTATCAGAGCTTGAACCACACATGAACTTTCATGTAACACCGTTAATACTTGCAGAATATGTAAGCTTTAAAGCAATCAAATATGCCTTTTAAGTGAGGGCAGAGATTAAAAGACATGTTGTAAATAGGGTTGCCAACCGTTCCGTATAATACGGAATAGTCCCGTATTTAAGGCACCAAAGAAGCGTTCCGTATGAAAGCTATACGGAACGCAGTTTGTCCCGTATTTAAGGCATATACAGTATGAACACCTAGACCATACGAATAACAAACTCTAAACTGAGAATTAATCATTCGTTTTTGACAAGTGTTTGATTTGTGAACAGAGTTGGGTTTTTTAACGACCGCGTTTCGACTTCAGCAAATCAGTTTGAGCGAATGCAAACAACGTGATTCCAACATCCAGCCACGCAAGAAAACGTGCATTTTACCTGAAGACGTGATCAATGAGGAAAGTCGTATTTCTCTAATATATACACCTAGATAAAACAATTTACATTTAAGTAACTTCCAGCGTATTCTTAACCTTGAATATCATTCTTAAAACACAAAATGACCAAAGAAGTGTCAAGCACCCAAAGCAATCCATATTTATTCTAAGTTCTCTTTAATTGAAAAAGTATATTTCATATACTGCAGTAGGCCTACTGTAGGCTATATTACACACACGCATATCAGAAGACAGAAAGGGCTTTATTGCCAAGTATGTTTGCACACAGGCTACGAGGAATTTGTTTTAGTGTCACAAGCTTCCAGTACACAGACACAACAACAACACACAGATAATAAAAATAAGATGTGAATAAAATACACATATGTATAAATATAAATAAAGCACACACACACACACATGTACAGGTGTGCTATAGATAAAATACTGTAGAATATGAATAGAATAAAAAATAAAGTACTATGATGTAAAGTGATAAATAGTATAAGGTTATTGCACATATTTGTATTGCACAATGGGAGAACATTTAACTGTTCATGAGGTAGATTGATACATATATATGTATATATATATATATATATATATATATAATAGGCCTGTGTGTGTATCCCTTATTCTGTCCCTTATTTTTCTATGAAAAACCACGATTGTCCCTTATTTTCCTTTTCTGAAGTTGGCAACCCTAGTTGTAAAACATTAAACTGTTGTAAACATTATGGTAAACAACATCATGGAAACACTGTCCAAAAAAAACTATGTTGAATGCAGATAGGCCTACTAAATAATACTATTATTAAAAGATTAGTAGCTTTAACAAAAAAAAAACAATTATAGCATTAGGCTACTTGTTGGTTAAGCATTTAGGCTACCAACAAAGTTTGGGCACGTACACAGGAGTCAGCTACAACCTCACAAGAAACTAAATAATTGGCATGTACCTGTATTATTCGGCATATTGAATTACTTATTTATGCAATCGTTTTAACACGTGACTTGTTATAGTGCAAAACAAGTCACGTGTTAAAACGATTGAATAAATGGTCATTTGTTCAATATATATATTATAATATACAATAAATTCAATATATTTATTTCATATATCAGCTCAGTTTTATTTTACATTTGGTGAGACATTTGCGCAATAAATGTCTTACCTACGCGCGAAGGTAAAGTTTTTCATAACACCAGTCATTGACGTAATATTCAAGCGCCGACTAGCGACTACAGTGTTTAGTCAACGCTATGCGTGCGACTCCGCCCACCTAGATCCTGTCAATGACATTTATCGATTTTTACGTTATCAAAAACAATTGCAAACATGCACAGGTTTGTCAGACCTCAGCTTTTGCTTCGTGATTCTAAACAGCCATTATTACCGACAGCGGGTCAACTTTGTACAAATCACAAATGTAAGTGTTACCGAGACAGTTTCATAACTGCCCTTATGACTAACGTTACGTTACACATTACATTACATTTATTTGTATAGAAATTACACCCACAAACTCGTAGTTTTCAGAATTTCTACTTGAAATGCAGACCAAATGAACTTGCATGTTTACAATGTATGTTATATTTATGTATGCCAAATTGTGCGATATTTGGCAAATGTGTGATGTTTGTTATGGTAACGTTAGATATTTATTTTTATAATGTCATGTCTTGTATATATAATATATTTAAGTGCTCAGAGCTTCTGTATATTAAAACAAACGGCATGTGTGTTTGTGTGAACACACCAAGAATGTTCTTTCTATGGTACTCGCTTACCATTGCATGTTTGTGTGACTTTCAGCTGTTGTGTCCAGTGTAAGGGGATATGTTGTATTGCCTCCCACCAATGATGAAGAAGAAAAAGCCATGCTTCACAGGATGATGAGAGTGGACCATGCAGGAGAATATGGTGCCAACCGAATCTATGCTGGTCAGATGGCTGTTCTTGGCCATACACAAATCAGTCCACTCATTCAGGTATCACTCCATAAACCAAAGCTGGCAATTATTACACAAAGATTACCATTTCCCTATATCACATTTGGGAGGGTTGTTATATAAGTTTGTTTAGAAAGAACAGCGTTCAGTGAGGTCTGATGTAATATGGAACTAGGCATTCAATGTGATGATATATCAATTAAGGAAATGTGGGATCAAGAGAAGCAGCACCTGAGAAAGTTTAATGAGATACTGGCTGAGAACAGAGTGCGTCCGACCCTCCTGCTTCCGCTGTGGAACATAGCAGGATTTGCTCTTGGTAAGTGTGACCTTTACAGTATTTATATATATATATATATATATATATGTGTGTGTGTGTT